AAGGGAAAGAGGGAAAACTGAACTAAGAAACCCACCAGATCCTTCCCAGGCTGCTGTGTTCCTTCCTAGGTTGCTGGAGGCCCCTTTCCTCCCCCAGCAAGGACAACTTATGGGGAGGAGTGGTGGTGGTGGTGGGGGAAGCGTGGAAAGCAAGCAAAGGAGAAGGAAAAAACAGTTTGGCAGTTTGGAGAAGGGAATGAAGGATGCGGAGCTGGGCGGAGCTGAACTAGGAAGGAAAGGGGAGGCGGTGGGAGAAAGGGGCCGGACGTTGAAAGGCTAAAGGGAGGGGAGGAAAGGCGGATGCAAGAGAGGGGGGGAAAGATTGTAGCTGGCCCCTGGGATGCCTTAGGTGATCCCGGAGGCAGGAATGTGTTTCCATCAAAGTTCCCACCAGGAGAAGGCAAGGACTGAGCGTCGTGGACTTCCCAAGCGGCTCTGACCCAAACCTTGTTCCAAGGAAACAAACATGAAACAGAAGTAACAGAAAAACCTTTTAATGATTCTCAACGAATTCTGTTCCTTCCCGGTTAAAAAGCTGTTTCATATGAATTATCTCTGGTAAGAACGAGGTGCCTTGCCGAGGTGGTGCAAGGCTGCCAAGAACACTAGATAAAGTTACTAAGAAAGATTTGAAACACAAAAGAGTCTCCAAACACCAACCAAGATATTCCGAACGTCCACAGGGCTTGAGTACAAAAGCTTCTTTGTTTCCTGCAAAGAAGTCAACCCCGAAGGCTGGCTTTTATCCCTTATGGGAGGAGCCATCACCTTGCAGCCTTACTCCCGAGTCGCCCGTGCTGCTGCAGCTGCTCTTTCCTTCGAGCAGCCCTGCGCGCACGCACACTGGGCCCAGGCTCCTCGGGGGCCTCTTCATCGCTGCTGCCAGCCTCCACAATCTCCGAAGGCAGCACTCCACCCCCTAATGGTCCTGGCCCCATCCCTGCCTCACACGCAGGCCCCTCACCTGAGTCCTCGCTCTCCGAGACCTCAACCATCCACACCTGTTGCCAGCAAACCACAATACAAGCAGAGAGAGGGAGTTTGGGCAGCTAGACTCCTCCCGAGCCTGGTGGTTCTACTTGAAGCTCGGAACAGCCTCTGTTGGGTGCAATTGCTGTTAATGGCCGGCTGAGTGAGTCGCCTGGATCCAGACACTGAAGGTTGCAAACTCTGATGTTTCGGTGGGTGGGAATCTAGCCAAATCTGACATGCCCCAAACCCTGTTTAACCGAATGTTGGCTTCGGGTTAATGGCCAGCACCTGAGTTTTTCCAATTTTCCGGCTCTCCCCTCTAAGAGGGGAGACGTTTTTTGAAACAGTTTGATGGAAATGGAGTGTGGCTGTTTGGGGGAAAATCCCAATTCAGGCAATATGTTTATTGATTTAGGACACTTCCACAAAACAACATATTTTTAACACTTCTGGATCTCTTCTCCATGTTGGACCTTAATTTATAGCTCAGGCTGTAAAGGATGAGATTTTTTTTTTTTTTTAAAGTCTGCTGAACAACTAGAAAATTAAACAAACATATCCACGTATGTTTCGTTAGGGCAGCTGTTCTGTTTTGTTATAGCAAAAATGTTGTGCTTGGTTTTAGTGTGTGTGAGAACCTGGCTTGTGGCTCTGAAGAGATGAACCCATCTCATAACATGGTTTATTTTGTCTTACTGTTTTCTGTGGGTCCCACAGTGGTTGATAAATTACCCGTTGTAGTGAAATGTGTGACTTCAGCTAACTAGTCTATTTAATCAACCATGCTTAGATATGTCATAGCTTGGTGTCATGATGCAGATTTGTTCCTATGTGAAAACTGGGTAACATATATGGCTTGACACTTTGTACGTTCTCAGGCAGACCTTTGCTAATCATCTGCCATCTTGGAAATCCTTTGAGTTACAGCTTTTCCACTTTGGCCATCTACAAGCAAAGGTCTGTGGGCCACAAGATACTCTATTTTGCATCTTAAATAATATTTTTTAAAGGATGCCCTTCATGCATTCCAGAATGACGACAACTGGCCTTCCTTCCTTCCTTCCTTCCTTCCTTCCTTCCTTCCTTCCTTCCTTCCTTCCTTCCTTCCTTTCTCTTTCCTTCCCCTCCTACCCTCCTCTTCCTCTTTCTTCTTTTTTCTTTTTTCTTTCTTTCTTTCTTT